AAATAGAACTGGCTTTTGAGTTTTCCAGTTTGGGTGTGAGAGACTCAGAGTGAGACTTTCAAATGAGTTATAACTATTTTTAGGTCTATGATTAATAAGCTTGAGTCAAAGATCGCTGCTACACCTCCACGTCGGCCTGTGTTTCGAGGGATGTGACAGTTACTGTGACTAGGTGGAGTGGATTCATTTAGGCTGACATATTCTTCCTGCTGTAACCACATTTCAATAAGACACAATAAGTCAATGTGATGTTCACTTATCAAATCATTCACTAACAGAGATTTAGATGAGTGAGATCTGATATTTAATAGTCTACATTTGATTGTCCTATTACTTTCTACTGTAAGAGGAGTAGTCTTAATTTTAATTAGGTTCTTATGAATAACTCCTCTCAAGTTGATTTATGATTTATATAATTTAGGTGGGCAGGGGGCAGACACAGTCTCTATGGGGTACTGGGAGTTTTGGGTGGGTAGCAGCTGCAAAGAGACAGCAGAGGGGCGTGTAAGACTGTGACCCTGCGTCCTGGACTCGACTCTGGGTTGTCATAATTCAGGTTGCAAAATAAACTTTTCCAGATTTCTAGATATGAGAGCCGCACCACCCAAAGTGGGATGGATGCCGTCTCTGCTAATCAGACCAGGTTTTCCCCAAAATGTTTTCCAGTTCTGTTCTGGTGGGCAGGTGTCACTTTTGTACTTCAGTTTGTCATGTGCTTGTGGTTTAAATACTTTTTCTTTTTGTTTTCACAAATATTTAACTGATTTTTTTTTCCTTCAATACACCTTACCTCCACTTATAAGAAATGCATTATTCACTCCACCACCACCCAGTTACAGTGCAGTTCAGCATACCTACAGTGCAGCCACCCCACATTACTCAACCCATGCTTCAAATCAAGCATCATCCCTGGTTCAGTTGCTCCTTGCTTCAGCGTTTACTACTGTGTTGTGTGGTCCACTGCACATGCACATTAGTGTTTCCCTCACTGGCCCTGCCAATGTGTTCTTGCTCAGTCCTTAGACTTGACATTGGGATGTAAATCATCAGTGAAGTCTTCCCTGTCAGCAGGGTTGATTTTCTTGAAACTGTTAAAACCTGTGAAGTTTCTCGAGCAATAATTTGTCTGCAAATAAGTCTACTGGGCTTGATCGTATTTCTGTAGAACACCTTAAGTATGCTAGTTTGAGGTTGGCTCCTCTTTTAGCTATATGTTTTACATCTTGTGTTATACATGGGTTTTTGCCTGACTCCTTGATGACAGTGCTTTTAGTCCCTGTGGTGAAGGATAAAGCAGGAAAGGTGGGCAGCTCTGATAATTACAGACCTATTGCACTTGCTAATACACTTTCTATGAGGCAATTCTTTTGAGTCTTTTGAGTAGGTTTTGTAATCTTATTGGCTCCACTGAGAACCAATTTGGGTTTAAATCCAATCATGGCACAGATATATGTATATTTGCACTAAAGGAATAGGTTAGTAAATATAAAAGTAAGAATTCCACTGTATTTATGTGTTTTTTAGATGCCTCTAAGGCCTTCGATCGGGTGAAACATAGGAAATTATTTCAGAAATTGTGTGATGCCATGTGCCTAAATATATAGTAAGATGTTTGTCTTATTGGTATGCCTGCTAGTCTATGCTTGTTAAATGGGATAATTGTATACCTGATCCTTTTCAGACCAGTAACGGGGTAAGGCACGGTAGTTAGCTGTCCCCGATTTTATTTAACTTTTATATGAATGATCTCTCAAAAAAGTTAGATATGTGTAGAACGGGTTGCATGGTTGGAGGTGTTGTAGTGAATCATTTAATGTATGCAGATGACCTTGTGGTATTTAGTCCTAGTTCCGCAGGTCTTCAGCAGCTCTTGAATGTGTGTTCTGTATTTGGAGATCTTTATGATGTTAAGTATAATGCTTTTAAAAGTGTTATTATGATATGCCGCTCAAAAGAGGACAAGTCCCTTGTATTTCCTTTTTTTTAAGCTATTTGGTAATATTTTAGCTGTATGCAATGAAGTATTATGAATACATAATAAAGTAAAAACAATTGTGTTTGCAGTTGGAAGTGTCCTGTGAGCAGTTCTATAGACATTGTTTTATAATGTGGCCTTCAGGGAAAAGGTTTTTGAGCAACCAGGATTTTTTTAGCTGCAATACCAGGAGTGGCCAGTGGGACAAACTGTCAGCAAGAGTGAGTGGCAGTGCCATATCAATTTTGCTCAATACAGCCATGCGTCACTCTATTACACCACTTAGCTGGTAAAATAATAACATAATTTATGAGACCCTTACTGGGTAGTGAATGTCCATGCCCCCAGATTGAATTAAGCTATTTTTGTTAAAATGTCACTTGAATTAATAGAGCTCCTCAAAGCTCCACAGAATGACTTATACGACCGCAATTAGACACATCTTTCAGTGCAAAAAATATGACAAATGAAGGAGCTGGAGAGAATTTAAGAGGTGCTTAAGCTAAACATAAATTGTTGTCTTGAATTAGATACAATTCAAACTGAATTTTATCATTAAACTTCCTCCTCATGTACTTGATGGTTTATATGTGTGTGCTCTGCATTCCTCAGGACCTGCTGGTGACTGTTTTTGAGAATGGTAGCCTGGTGCAGGAGTACTCCCTGGAGGAAATCAGGAAGAATGCTCGCCTGCAAGAGGAAGAGCTGAACCCCACCCTACACAACCACGAACAAGAGCTGCTGCACAATCACATCATCAACGGGATTCATTAGATAACCACAAAGCTTCTCATCCTGCCTGCGATGATTCAGTGTTTCACAGTGTGCACTGGAATGAAGACTGCAATATTTTAGAAAGGCACCCATCTACATATAAACTGAACATGTTGGAGGGGAATCAACAGTTTTTTCTCATTAACAAGTCACCACCAGCACTTCTACCTCCACCCCACATTACCACCACACCATCCTGAGAAGCCAGTGTTTGGGGGTAGATTAGCTTCTTTCACTTTCTCTTCTGGCCAAACACTCAGCCAGCCCACAGTACACTGTCCCTCTCCATTGTCATGGCCATGACCAGAAGTAAAGCTCAGGGTCAAACATGATAAGCTAAGTTAGTTTTTAGTCTTTCAGTTTTTTAATTTAAAGAGACACTTTCTGAATATGGGGTTGCTGCTGACTACTAGAACAAAATTGGAGAGTTTTTCTTTAAAGCTATTTTCATTGCTAGTAATGCAGTATCTGTGCAGTTTCAGGCCAAAAATGGCAAACTTCCAAATATTCAGAGCTTCCATTAGATTTCTGTTTTCTTAGCATTCGTATTAGAGTAACAGTTTGAAGCTGCATTTTACACACAAAATTGTATTTGTATTATACCAAAATACAAATAGCAACAGTGTTATTGATTATTGTAATAATGCTACATCATCAGGTTTTGGTTGTGCTGAATGCTTGATACATAATATCTAATTTAAATCAGTGTCAGTCAGTGTCAGCTCCATAGCCTTATTGACTGCCATAGGTTTGTTTTTCACAATCAGATTCATAGTTACAATACAGCCTTTAACAAAAATTAGACACCAGGTTTCAGATATGAAGGAAACTGAAACCATGTACAGTATATGCATTTAGATATCACAACACTGACATGGTACAAAATTATTAAAATAGATAAAGCTGTGCTGCCACAGTTGGGAAAAGAGCCTTAATCAGTGAACCCATACTTGTTTTTATTCATAATTTGGTCCACTAAGCACACACTATGCAGCTCCGAAGTATTTGTTTATTTTATGATGCATTTTTAACTGATGAAATACTAAAGCATCAGCAGCATCAGCAATCAGAGTGTAAACCACTGCCAAGGCATCTTAGCTTTCCCAGAATATTATTACACCTAAAAGCAATATTCCCATGACAGTTTGCCCCTCATAATGTGCTTTCTGGACCATGAAACTACTACTAGCACTTGGCATCAGATTGATGTCATAATTAGTTTGAAAGTTATCCAAGAAAATCAGTATTTCACTAATGGCCATTTAACTTCTGGATGTAGCTCAGTAACTTCTGAAGATAAGGATTGTTCATGGGCCATACCCTACCTCTCCAAAAATGTTATTAAAATTCATTCATAGCTTTTTGAGTTATGCTGTGAACAGACCAACAAATGCCAGTGAATACATAACCTCCTTGGTGGAGGTTAATTATTTATCTGACACAGTAGCCTATATTAAGAAATATGGTCAGCAGGGCTCCAGACTGCAAGTGATCAGTCACACTTTGCAATCCAATTTATTTGAGGTGCAACTGCCTCTTTTCAAAGATCGCACTGGGTACCATCTGCTAAATAAACGGGTTATACAGTACATGAGCAACTGTCCTAACATCACTGTAGAAATGCTGGACAGACAGACATACCTGTGGCAAACAAACTATCTCCATAATATTGTCATTGCAGCATTTGTCTACGGATCTTTGATCCACACTGACTGAGAAACACAGCC